CTCGGCGATGATATTGTGTAGGGCACGAAGCCTGTTATAATAATCGCCAGCTTGTCAAGCTCGGGGATGACGTTGTGTAGGGCGCGAATCCTATTATGATAAGACGTTGTGTAGGGCGCGAAGCCTGTTATGATAATCGCGAGCTTGTCGAGCTCGGCGATGACGTTGTGAGGGTGAAAGCCTGTTGTGATAATCGCGGGCTTGTTGAGCTCGGTGATGATGTTGTGAGGACAAAATCCTGTTGTGATAATAGCGAGCCTGGCGAGCTCGGCGATCCAATTGTAGGAGCGAAAGCCAGTTCAACGAATCGCAAGCTAGTTGAGCTCGGCGACGATGTTGAAAGGAGAAATGCCTATGCCAAAATTCGTAACTCCACTAAGACTTGGTGATGTATGTTATGAAAATATATAAGCTTGTTATGCTTAGCGGCAAGTCTCTCAAGCAGAAAGCTTGTTCATGGTTATTGAGCTCGGCCGCGAAGGAAAAGGATTGATAAATTATCCTGAACATTTTGTGGACTGGTCGAGCATACTTGTATTGTTCCTAGCCTGGTAAGAGTTTATACTCATCACCGAATTAAGGAAAGGAAGGTCGGTATGGATCTTGTTAAGACGAATCCTTGACAGTTGACGAGGAAAGTGCCATTTACAAACACATTTGACATAGTATAGAAAATAAACCAAACATTCGATTAAAAGACAAAGTTCAGGTGGTCTGCAAATCATGCTTACAAAAGGATTCAGTTCAAGGATCTAAAACAAAAGATAGAAAAAGGCATTAGCCCATAACATGATGATTAAAGAAGCAAACAAGCAGCATCCTACGAAGACTGTGGAGATTCCTCCTCGTCACCCTCGTCCTCGTCATCATCCTCAGCATCATTGTTCATTTTGGCCTTTTCTTGGCAATATCGAGAACGGGTTTCCACTATGGAAAGTCAGCAGGTTGGCTCTTGTCACGTCCCACCCGACAATATCGGGAAGGCTAGGCGCCATAGCAGCTGCGTCCACGGTACCAGCGTATCTCTCGCCTTAGCTTGCTCAAACGTGCGTTGCACCCCCTCATTGAAGTATTGGCAGGCGGGGCTGAGCTTGTCGAGGAAAGCGGTCGTGTGCTTATAGTATCCTAGCAGCTCGGCCCGATAGTGCTCAAGGAAACGAGTACCGCGGACTAAGAAGAGAAAGGAGTTCGCGCCAGCAGAGCGAGCTGAGGCTACGCGCTCGTCTGTGCTGGGCGGTGAGCTGGTCGACCTCTTCATTTTTACGTTCAAGTGCTTCTTTCATACTCGCCATCTCGGTCTTCACTGTGGCAAGTTCGCTTTGGAGTGGTTTAACCTCCGAGGTGCCCTATATTTCTTCGTGGAGTATTGGTGCCAAAGCAGCTAGCGACTGTACAAAAAAAAATGTTAAGGGTGATATAGTTATGAGGTTTGAATAAGTAGCTCGGCGGGGTTACCTGGACTAGGTGGAATAAGCCAATGGAAGCCCGCACTTGGCTGTCTTCCCAGTGGGCGGTTTCCTCTTCGGGAAAGATAGAAAGTGGGTAGGCAGCAGCCGAGCTAGTATCATTGTTGCCAGGAAAGGATTTCGGACGTGTAAGAGCGGTTTTCAGGCTAGAATTCGGTTGAGGGGACTCGTTGCCCTTCTCCTTTTCCGGGGCAGTTTTGTCATTCTTCAAAGCTTTAGGGTGCTTTTTTTGTCTATTTTTGGGAAGGTTGGCGGCTGGATTGACGTTTCTTTTTGGCGCCTAGGGCGTCTGGTCGGCAATAAGATTCTGCGGATTCGCGGTGGAGGCGAGGTCGGCATTAGGATCGGTCTGTTGGGATGATGATGTGAGAAATGAAGTTGATAAGAGTGATGGGGGTTTTGTATTTATAGGAAAGATATGTGGGATAGAAGTTGAAGGGGCAATCGATCAGGACTGTCCGTTTAAGGTGCAATCCATGGTGGAGAATGAAGGAGTGTTGAGGAAGTTTGGGAGGCTCTACGAGGAATTCATCACAATCGTTCAATTTGAAATGGATTGGACGGCTAGGATGATCTGGGTATGACAAGCTAGTAGCAGGTGCCAGCTACTTAGGTGCGGCAGACGAGGTTTAAAGGCATCATTGCCGGGTACTTAGACCGATGATCACGTGACGGAGCTTGTTGGGCTATGACTGGATGAGCTTGGATCGCTGATGACGTGACGAGCTCATAGAGGTAATGGTATGCCGAGCCCGGATCGAGGACGATGGGACGTGACGAGCTCGTCGGGATGGTGACGTGACGAGATCAGACCGATGATGACGTGACGGAGCTCGTCGGGACTGTGACTTGACGAGCTCGGATCGATGATGACGTGACGAGCTCGTAATGAGGTCGTGGTTTTGAGGATCTTTGATATGACAAACCCAGTTTCCCTGATATGACGATCTTGCGGTTCTTCGATGCGCCGAGCTCGCAGATGTTCGATGTGACGAGCTCGCGATTCTGTTGAAGTGACGAGCTCGTGATTTGCGATGGATGAGCTCGTGTTTTTGCAGGGTGACGACCTTGTGGTTTTTTCGATAGGCTGAGTTTTTGGTTTGGTGATGTGATGAGTCCGTGATTTGACGAGGAGACAAGCTCGTAATTTTGCAAGGTGACGAGCTGATGACTTCGATTTGGGACAAGCTCCTAATGTTTTTGAAAATGACGAGCTCATTATTACGGTGTTATGACGAGCTCATGTTGATTTCAATATGACGAGCTCATATTGATGTCAATATGACGAGCTCATGGCGATATGATGAGCTCATATTGATTTAGATGTGACGAGCTCATATAAGTAATGAAATGACGAGCTCATTTGTAGCTATGATGAGCTTCACGTAGCTATGATGTGGCGAGCTTATGATGCTAAGGGAGTGACAGGCACGCGTGACTTGGAGGATGACGAGCTCGTAATTTTACAATTAGACGAGCTAACGGCTTTGCGAAGTGACGAGCTCATGGCGTTGGTGAAGTGACGAGATCCCAGAGAGTGACGAGCTCGGCAAAGGCCATGACATAATGAACGCAGAGGTGATGATATGACGAGCTCTGAGAGGTTAAGATGTGACGAGCTCGTTGAGAACGTAACCAAACTAGCTCGCTGAGATTGTGAAATGACGAGCTCGCAGAGGCGGTGATGTGACGAGCTGGATGGGATGCGCGACGATCTGACACTGAGACCTTGGGAATAATTCCTTGGACGACCTGCGACCTACGGCTGTTCGTCCTCGAAATTCGGGGGGCTAGATGATATAGCATCTTTGTAGCTCGGTTGGGTAGTTCTTAGCTGTGGCAAAGGCGATGCTGAAAACCGAGTTGAGAATGAGCTTGGCAGAGATTGGACCGGTGATGGGAAAGTATAATGGTAAGAAAGGTTTTTGAGTTCGGCCGCTCGCGTATGGCCGAGGTAGGTGTTTGAGCTAAGCAGCCTTGAAAGGACGAGCTAGGCATGGTGCGCAAGGGTAGCTGGTCCTAAGTGTAAAATGCGTTCTGGATGTCGGGAGCTAGGCGCAGCCGAGCTGGGGTAGGAAAGCTAGTGGAAAGCTCGGCGTTGGCCGAGCTCATCTAACGATCTGTCACTGACGTATAGGTCATGGAGTCTTCCTCTCTGTTGAGATTAGCATTGCTAAGAGGCGGGCGGAAGTAGAACTCTATTGGCAGTAGGAGTCTTCCTAGGTCACGGTTCTTCAACTATAAAAAGGAGAACATGTTTCTTTTTACACACAACACACACATTATATATAAATACGCTTTGTCTTCTATATCTGCTACTTCTCCCGAATTCTTCACTGACTTGGGCGTCGGAGTGTTTGCGCCGGGACCACCCCCGACGTATTTGCAGGTTACCGGCGATTCAAGGAGGGCGGGTCGATTCGGAGAAGTGGTCCAGTGGTTCAAGACAATTTGACGTATCACACTTGATATGCACCAATATTGAGTTGGTGTTTGAACCTTTTTTTTTGTGCCCAACTGAGTGTCAGAGGTGTCAAGTTATGTGCAAATGTGTTACTTCCAAAATTTACGACTCTTTCTTTTTTTCCCTTTTAGCAGTTAGCATAATGCCTTTTGTTCAAAGACTTAAACGAAACGAAACCTTGCAAACACATCTATGTTCGGCTCGTGCAAGTTTTAGCTCAACCTATTCATCGACTTAAATGAGTCAAGCTTAAACATTTAATTGAGTTTTTTTATTAAAATCAATTGTACATTTAATATTCTCATATAAGATTTTAGATTTATTAAACGAGTTTATTAAACGAGTGAAACTTTCGTGTAATAATGGATCACTTGTTAAACTTATGCCTTACACGAAATATATCACATTACATTACAATTACAAATGAATGGGTCATTTTGTTGATAGATTTTCTTTTCAAGATCTTTATTGTCTGCAAAAGCTACCTAATTTCGTAATTGTATCTGCCACACATATGACACAATAGTAGGGAAATGAGATTCCCAATGTTAATCTAATATTATTAAGAAAGAGTGTATTTGTTTAGATTCTTGAACACGTACGTTTTTCATATTTAAAAATTCTAGTGTATTTGATTTAATTTTGTTTATTTTAAATTTTTAAAAGTTTGAAGCTAGTTATTTGAGATTTAAAGTCAGTAAAAGTCTGAAGATTTTTTAAAACTAGGAAGGTAATTTAATTTCGTAAAACTTTTTAAAAACTCAAATAAATACAAGTGGACTTTTAAAAATTCCAGATTAAATACATCTAGATTTTAAAATTCCAAAAAAATAAGTCTTTAAAAAAAATCCAGGATATATAAATACACCACGATTTTCAAATGAATACACCACGATCCTTACACCACCAAATATTCCTATTGACTAGAATGTTGTGCCATATATAAACCCTAAGAATTGCCAAAGACAAAATAGCCACAGCAACTAATTAAACAAGGCTAAGTACAAATGAAAGTTTGACAATCATATCAAAGAGAGATAAGTGAAAAGACAAGCATCCGAATTAGGGAAATGGTAGTCGGCATAATTAGCTTTACGGTTTTGCTTGCATTTCTTGATTTATCCGTAGTTGAGGGAAAATATATCCATTATCCGGTTCTTGCGCCGGTTCGTTACCCGAGACATCCACCACCGGCATTTTCAAAAACCCCTTATAGAAGGAGTTGCAATCCGGCTGAGAGATGCCGGGGCAACCCACCACAGTCGATCAACAAAAGTTTTCTAAAATTAATTTTGCACGTGTGCCGCGACCAAAATGACATGTTTGATCTAGGTTTACTTATGAAATATTGGAATTTAAACTGATATATATATATATATATATATATATATTTTAAAGGTTATATATATATATATCAATGTTTTCAATAGCATTTTTTCGCGCGCTACAGAGCGCGCTATTGCGCAATTTCACCTGTTATCGCGACATAGCGTGAGTAAATTTGCGTTCTTCCCAAAAAGCGGCCGCTAAATATGATGTGGCAGGTTATATGCGCTATTCGTTACGCTATTTACGCAATTGCTCAAATTACTCACGCTATTTGGAAAGGTAAATAGATAAGAGAAAAAAAGAAAGAAAGATGCGGCAGAAAGGATCCGTCGACGGCATCTCGCTTAGGCTGCCGGAGGAGGAGCGCCAACGCCGCATAGATTTCGTGCCGGAGGAGTCCACCATCAAGATCGACCACGTCGAGGCTCTGCAAATTTTCGAAGAAGAGGGCTGGAGTGAAGAAGCTCCGCAACTTTACTGTTGAATTTTTAAGAGTCTTTTTGAGAGTGATGACAAAAACTTCTTTCTCTTCAATTATTAATTTTTGGGAAAGTTCGAGACACATGGCTTTAAATCTTAACTTATTGCATTTTAATTTAAAAAAAAAAGGCAGCGGGCAATTGAGAAAAGGATGAGTACTGGACAAGACAAAAGATATAGAAAAATAATTGGACCAAATTTATTGAATACAATTACTTATTGAATGTAATTTTGTATATTAATACTAATTTTGTGATTGAGGAGTATTTAAGTTCATTTATTTTATTATCTATTTGGTTTATAAATATATATTTATTATTTTTTCTTTAAATATGAATTGCTCGAATTACCAACGCTATACGCTACGCTATGTACGCTACGCAACGTTGAGACCAAAACGCGATGAATAACGCTATACGCTATTTAAAACACTGATATATATATATTGTAAAGGAAAGTGTGATTTAATTTTTAATGTATCAAATGATGATCATGAAGAATAATAACCTTGTGTTCTTGTTGCATATATTATGTTGATTATTATAATCGTCTTGATTCTATAGAACTATGCACTACCAAAATAAGGGATGAGAAATTTTGATTAACATTGGAAGATCTCTAATGCTAAGAACATATCACAATCATATATGTCGTTGCATGTACTTGTTGATGAGATGAACGAGCAATTTTTGCTTTAATTTGGAAATTAAGGACATTGAATGTAATTAATTTGAAGGCAGCACCTAATTATATATTTATATCATCCAGAGTATAATTTCTTTTTATTTAATATATATGTAAATTGTTACGCTGCAAACCGTTGTACGTGCGAGACCGAAATTTAGATGCTTATGCATTATTTTGCAATTAATTAGTCGTGCAATTTCATGACCATATTGCAACACCCCTAAAAAATTAATGGTAGGGAATTAAAATCACATTCTAATGAGAAACGATATCCGATGACAAATCCAATAATTAGAGTAAATAAATATATATCTTAGTTAGAAACACGTTTTGATAAGAAATAATAAGTTGAAAGGAAACATTCCAAAACTCTTCAAGATTGTGATTTAACCTAATTGTCGTCTATTTAAACACACACATGCACCAAGTCTTTGTCATCACAAGTTCCAACAACAATAAAAAAAAATACTATATCGTTAATTATAATTATCAATATGGCAAGGCTGTCAATGGCGGTGTTACTGGCCGTGATGCTGCTCGTGTTGACCGGTTTTCATTCGTCATCAGCTGGAAGGTCAATTTCAAAGGTGATAGGTGCCCCGGCCCTTGGAAGAGGTGGTGCTACTCCGGGCCCTCCAACGGGCCCCGCAAACCCGTACCATAGAGTCTGTAGAAAGGTCGACAAATGTCGTGTACCGGCGGCCGGGCCTGAGGTTGATGAACTAGTTAATTAGTTAATTAGTGACACGAATTATATATATATATATATATATATTAAATTGATTCTATAGTTAATTTTGTTCTATTAATTATTTATGTCTAGATTGATACTAGACTTTACTTTTGGTACAATATCAATATATTGTCATAGTAATTAATTAGTTGGTGGATTGAAATTGGTATAATATAAGTTTATTTTGGGTGTTTAATTATTTCGAGTACTCTCAGCTCAGTATTGTTTCTTATCAGTTTTTTTTTATAATATGGTGCAAG